CTGAAGTAGGTGACACCCAGCTAGCAAGAACACATACGTCAAACAGGCATTAACGGGACCGGAAATCATTCGCGAGACCACAGAAAAGATTGTCCAGATCAAAGCTCGATTACAGGCATCGCGTGACCGGCAAAAGAGCTACGCTGATAAACGGCGAAAGCCCTTAGAATTCCAGGTCGGTGATCGAGTATTGTTGAAGGTCTCACCCTGGAAAGGGGTTATACGTTTCGGAAAACGGGGAAAGCTGAACCCGCGATACATTGGACCTTTCGAAATCGTCGCCCGAATAGGTCCAGTAGCATACAGACTACAACTACCTGCAGAGCTAAACGGTGTACACCCCGTGTTCCATGTTTCTAATCTGAAAAAGTGCCTGTCAGATGAAACCCTAGTCATTCCTCTTGACGAAATCGAAATCAATGAGAATCTCCTGTTCGTCGAAGAGCCAATCGAAATCATGGACAGGGAGGTGAAGCGTACTAAGCAGAGTCGCATCCCGATCGTGAAGGTACGGTGGAACGCAAAGCGTGGGCCAGAATTCACGTGGGAACGCGAAGATCAAATGAAGCAGAAGTACCCTCACCTATTCTAGCATTCTCAAATCTAGCTTTCAAACAGAATTTCGGGACGAAATTCCCTCTAACGGGGGGATGATGTCACAACTGGAAATTTTGTGTCATGTAATCTATACATTCAACCTAATGTGAATCAAAAACTTCAATCAAATACAATATACAAGCACTACAAGTAGTCATCAAACAATTGGAGACCCTAGAAGTTCTTGTTAAGTCCATTTTGGACTAGGACTTCCTATTTGGATCCAAATGGACCAATAAGCTTCCAATTGGACTATCATGGGCTTAGGACCCTAATTGGGCTCTAATTGGACCCACACTAATTTATTTCAACATTTTAGGTCATATTGGGCCTAGAATGAAATAAATCACAAGCTTTGATCCATAATTTAACCTAACCTAGCTTAATAAAGCATAAAAATCACAATTTTATTTTATAAGGCCAATAAATACCCTAAACTACCTCTAATGTTGGGCTTAGGGGCAAAAAGCCCAATTTTTCCTTCTTCCCTCCCCATTCTCGGCCCAAGCCCAAGGAAAAGGGAGAGTTGACCTTGGGTTGCCACCTCACCTTTATATGTTGGACTTCCATGCATATAACTCATGTTTCCAAGCAAACATCATATCAAGATCACTTCTTTTTCTCTCCTCTCTCCTTGTTTCGGCCGAGAGCAACACCACACACACACAAAACACTCACAAACTCTCTCTAAAATTCACTCAAGGCTTCTTCTTCTTCTTCATCCAAAGACTCGAAATTTAGGTAGCATTCAAGGAAGTTCTTCCACAAAAATCATCATCTAAGGTAAGGATTTGCTTGGATCTACGACTTATATTCTTTGTTTATCAAAAACCTCTTCCTAATCCATGCAAAAATCATGATCTTGCACTCTAGAAACCCCATAATCTCGAAAAGTTCATCAAGGAGTGCAAAGGCCAAAAATCACTTCATTTCTTCCAACCTTTCATCAAGAACCGAAACTACCCCCTAAGGTGAGCTTCATACCCCCTATTTTCTGTTTTTATGAGTTTTGTGGGGGGGGGGGGGAATACAAGTGAAAGTGTAGATCTATATGTGTTTTGTATGCCTTGTATGATTTCCATGCTTATATGTATGCTTTTATGTGTTTTTATGTTGGATCTAGCCTTAAAACCCATCAAAACCGAGATATATCTTGTGTTAAATGATTTTAGCTTCAAATATATTTCTAAACACAAAGTGTTTCAAGAAAAATGGCTAAGTGGTTTAGTAATAATTTTCTTTGGGTTAAAAACACAAATTTTGGGCTTAAAATGTGAAAAATGCAAAAATAAGGGCCCAAATTGACATTTCACAGATTCTGATGGATGAAGTGTGCCAAAACAGTTTCAATAAATAAATTTCTGGAAATATACTCATTTAGGGGATTAAAAACATAAATTCCAAGCTTAATGGGCTAAAAATGAAAATTTCGGCCCAATAAGGCCCATTATGCGAATTTTTCTGTTTTGGAGGGCCAAAACTGTAACTTTCTGTAAAACAGTGGACTATAAGTGTTCCAAATCCTTTTCAAAGGTTTAAAATGCTTTTTAAATTTAAAAAGGACCAAAGTTGCAAAAATTTTCCAATTTGGGCCAAAATTGTCAAAGTTGCGAAAAGAAGGGATTAAAACCGAGAAAACTGCATTTTCAAGGACTTAAACTGTTTTCTATGAAAAATTTGCTGAAAAATATTAATTTCAATAATTTTTGGTGTTAAAATGTCAAGAAAAATAGTTTAAGGACCAAACCGGGAAGTATTTAATAAAAAGGGTTGAAAATGTAAATTTTACAAATAATGAGGGGCTGAAAACAGGAATATTTCAAGACTAGTCAATGTACACAATTTGATCAAATAATTGCACCGCGACTATCGACGAAATACAATACATTACAATACCAAAAAGTCGTTATTAAACGAATTGGCTCGGTCTCGAGCCAATAGAAATCTACAACTACTAACACTACGACACTACGATTCATACAAGTAACGTTTGGTAATACATATACATGCGAGTGTGCACAGACGTCTACGCACCATCTTTGGGCCCCACAAGTGTAAAATCTTGTTCGTTGAGCCTAGCTAGCCCAATGACCTGATCTTAAGGCCCGAAGACATTTTTTTACGGTGTGTTGGGTTTTACCGATCCGACACAACGTAAATGGACTTTCAATGGCTTGTATACCACCGGTCCCCAAGGGTCCTTTGGTATTGCTAGTAAAGTCTACATTTCATGCGAGGCGGGTCGGGGACCCCTCGTACATTTTATCCCCAACCGGCTAATGGAGTTACCGGGGTCTTCGTGATCTCTTTCTCTTCGGATGTGGGACTATACCTAGTCAGGGCGATTGGATAACGCGATTAGTACTGACGACGCCTTCGGAGTCGTTAGTATAACTATAAATTGGGCGTTTGTGTAACGCGGGTTTGTAGTAAATAATCCTGCTCGAAAACCTTCCAACGTCGCCTGGGACTGACACTATACGCTATGCAATGGTTTCAATGTAACATCACGTAATTCAAGGAACTAGGAGAACATCGGGTTTTCCTAGGGTTTTCAATACGAACTGATTTGAAATGCATACATTTTCAATGAACATTTTTTTTACAAGTATAGAAACGAACAAGCATACCTATGGATCTTCACAAACGTTTTCGAAAACTTATCTTTTCAGAAAATATCGGATTTTCTGGTGGTTCTTCAAACAATACAAACATTCGATTTCAAACACTACTTATGAACTCACCAACATTTCATATGTTGACGTTTTTCAAAATACTTGTATTCTCAGGGAGCCAGTGAATCAAGGGAAATCATATCCAGTGACGGTTGCGGTTTATTTTTGTATGAATTGAACAAATTAATTTTTGGGGAATGTAATGTTTAAACAATGTATGATATGTAAACACTACTGGTTGTACTATGTTGATGAATGGTGACGAATGTTGTTATGTTTCATATATATTCAATGTTATGGTATTCAATTGAGTCACGACAGCCCCCGGACGTTTCCGCCGTCTGGTTCGGGGGTGTGACAATCTAGGTCCCCAACATCCCCAGCCGACCCGTCTCATTTTGGTGTCGTATGTCTTGGCCCAGTTCAAAAGGGCAAACTTGAGTCATTCCTTAAACGAGGTCATGCCATCCAAAAATTCGCGCATGTTCCAACCTTGAAAGAGTTGCATGTTTACAATCAAGTCAAAACCCTGTTTCGCAACATAGGGTGGCATGGCTTGTTGAGGGGCCATGAATTGAGCTATAAAGTCCCAACTGCTGAGTTTCTATCCTCAGTTTATTTAGATCATGGGATCCTCTACTTCCATCTAATGAATCAAGACTATGAGATCTCCTTGGATCAAATCAATGCCATTGTGGGGGCCCCAACGGAAAACACATTTGGCCCCGCTGATCCAATCCAAGGATACTATGACATGACTTAGTGGACCCAGCTCACCCAATTACATCCATATGTCTCTAGCGCTGCTAAAGCCTCATCACTTATCCATCCTGTGATTAAGGTAGCTCACAGAATCATTGCTTCGCTCGTCGCCCCTAGAGAGGAGCGAAGCACCATTAGCGCGCTGGAACTTAAAATCCTTTATGCAATGACCCATCCCGAGAATAACCTCATTCCTCATTATGGTCGGTTTCTGTGCCACAAGCTCATCCGCCTTAGCGCATCCCGATCGGGAAAGATTGTTTGCGGGGATATTGTCAGCATGCTCGCCAAGAGCGCCCATATCCGAGCCCCATACCCCGGTCCCCACCAGCCACTGCTGGGTGAGCCTTATCTCACCACCACTGTCCTTGAGTCCATGCGACTCTTCCGCTCGGCAGGCGATGGTACACACCATTGGACCGTGGGTCAAAATCATGATCCCAAGCTCGTCATCACACCAGAAAATAAAGGCATTCTTGATTTCCGAAATCCCATTCATATGACTGATTGGCAAATCATTCCATACATCTTCCCCCACTCTTATTCCACCGAGGTCGATGAGCAAAGCGAAGAAAACGAGGAAGATGGTAATGATGATGAAGAAGAGGAGGAGCCTCACCATGCTTCTCCCACCGGTGGTGGCAGCTCATCCCATTTTGCTGCACCCCCGTCTTATCATCAACAATATATGGACGAATTCCAATCAATCCATACCCGCCTCGACACCTATCAGCAAGATATTACCAGCCTGACCCAGAATTTTTCCACCTTCACCACCCAGTACGCTCGGGATCAAGAGCATCAACGAAAACATGAGGAGGACTTCTGGGCTTGGACCCGAAACCCCAGCTACTATCCTCCTCCTCCACCTCCGTTTTAGGTTGTTCCACCCTCTCCAAGCATCGGGGACGATGCTTATCTTTAAGCTTGGGGAGGGGTAGACTTGTATTTTAGGTTCATTCATTCTCATGCATGCATTTTCTTATTTTCAAAGTTTTCCTTAAAATGAGACGGCTGCTCCACCCCAAGATGCTGAACCACATTTTCCATCGTGCTGCCTATCCAATTCACACTCAACGATAACTGGTCAAAGTAACCAGCCATATCACCCCCAAAAGGTGCATCCACCATGGAAACAGTTGGGTGTGTCGGCTGGCCGCGGTCTCCCCTTCCTCTTACGTTCCTGCGTCTCGGTCTTGGCTCTAGCGCAGGTTGATCGGCTGGCTGATCATCCTTATCTGCACCCTCAACGTCTGATGGAACTATTCCCCAGTGCGATCCAAAATTTCTGACCACTCGCATAGTCTCCAAATATCCCATACCAAAGTCATGTTCGTCTATAGACATCATGGATCTAATAATATCAGGAACAATCAGATGATAAGAACGGGCCAAACGAGTAACAAAATGACCCCCACAAAATTCCTTGTAGACCCGCTCTTTCACCTGGAACAGAATTTGCCAACCAGAACAGGTGAACGAATAGCCATCTCCAATAAATGTCTTTTTCAAGTACGGGCCCACCCGGTCTACGAGCCCTACTTCCCTCAATCTTGTCCAATTGACTGTTGGAGCAATTGCAATTTCCCTTTTATAAAGCCATCCCAATCTGTTGTTCCAACGGATCAAAACATCACGGGCCGTCGTCGCGGGAAAATTGTAAAACGGGTGTAAACCCGCAACCCCAGTTGGAGCCTCTCTTCTTGGAGCCATTCCTGCAAAAACACGAAAAAGAAACAGCCAAAACAAATATCCACAAGTCAAACATAGAAAAATGAATTCTGATTAGCACCAGAATTCACGTCGTGAGTTCGTAACCAGATGAGGCAGAATCTTCACAATCGGGGAAAATCCAGTCAACATATCCCTGGGTTTTACTCCTATACCACTTCCAAACACTTAGCATGAACATTCCACGGTTATTTACGAACTGTAAAGAATTAATTTCATCATTTAACAAACCCTAACCCTAAGTTCCTCTACTAGAACCAAAAATTAAACGTAATAATCAAGAATTAGTACCTTTGTTGGAAGTATTACGTAAGCACAATGGTAATTAGTAGGATTGTCGGCTAAATTCGCAGCAATGGGGACCAAGGGGGACCAATTTTTGTTTCCACTTCGTGAACAATAAACAAATGAGAGGGTTTGCTGGTTTCCAGGGACTTAATATGTGGTCCCGTACTTGTAAAAGTTCACGTCGTGAATTATATACAATTCACGTCGTGAGTAGTGGTTGGGCTTAAGTTTGGGCCATGTACTCACGGACTGGTCTTGGGCTTGCTAGTTTAATGGGTTAAGCCTTATCATGGATTATGTGTCCGGTTTATTCACAATTCACGTTGTGAATGGCTAACTATTCACGTCGTGAATAAAGTCTGGATAATTAAATTTTTCTGAGTTGAATTAAGTTCTTAATTACTACTACTTCCGTTTTTAGGTCCCCACATTTTGTTCTAATAGAGTTGGATGACTCGATCTAAGTTTTCAAAACTAAAATGCAAAAAGAAAGAGAAAAAATTTTAAACCAAACTCGGGTTGCCTCCCGAGAAGCACTTCTTTTTCTTGGAGTCTTGAGCTGGACTCCGTGCCTCCTACGTTGAGTCTTCGGAAGAGTCCTCCACCAAGATCTTTTGCTCCTTGAACCGCGTTTTGTAAGCTTGAACTCTCCTTTTATACGCCTTCTTTGAATTCTCCTTTTTAGCTTTTCCCTTTTCTTCAAGCTTGCGTTTTGTGCCCTTGGTTTCCTCCTCGTACTTTATGTCATTCTCTTCTGCTTTCACCACCGGCCTTGTTACTCTTGAAGTGACCTCCTCTTCATCACTTGTTATTTCCTCATCCTCTTTGCTTACCCAAGAAGGCGGGCTCTTGTAAGCTATGACTTCAATCCAATATGGAACAGATGCCTTTGGTTTTTGTCATTTTGACTTGATGAACTACTTTTATCTCTTCTTCCATAAGCTTTTCCAGTTCTTCTAGTTCATTCTCTTCATTAATTGTGAACACCTCTTCTTTATTTTCTTGAAAGTCATCCTTTATCCCAAAGACTTCTTGTTCATCTCCAACCCTCAAAGTTAGCTTCGACTCGCGGATATCAACAAGGGCACCAGCAGTGTTGAGCAATGGCCGACCTAGGATTATCGGAATATCTGGATCTTCTTTCATGTCCAAGACTACAAAGTCTATTGGAAAAATAAATTTTCCAATTCTCACCAAAATATCCTCCGCTATGCCTCGGGGTTGTGTCACTGAACGGTTCGCCATGTGAATCTTCATTTTTGTAGCCTTCATTTTCTAAATCTCCAATTTTTTATAAAATGAAAAAGGCATTAGATTAATGCTAGCCCCAGAATCGGCTAAAGCATTAACCTTCATTTTATTCCCAAACTCGCATGGAAGAGTGAGGCGTCCAGGATCCCCCATCTTTTCTGGTGTCTCTCCCAACACAACTTTTGAAGTTTGTTCACTTAAAATCACTGTAGACTGCATCTTTAATTGCCTTCGAGTGTCTATCAAGTCTTGCAGTAATTTCTAGTTCTCGGGAGTGTTAGGTGCTACTTGTGCACCTTTTTGCACACCTTTCAGTCCCATTTTATGCATATAATTAGCACAATTGTTCTTCCTTTTCCTTGCATTTTACCATATTCATTTTAGTCTCTAGAACAACCTTATTTGCACACTTTTATATCTTTTTCAGGTAAACCGGAGGTTGGAACGCGCTTTGGGAAGTGTCGGGAAGCATTGGTGGAGATTTCGGGACGATCGGGCGAAGAACGAAAAAGTTGGAAAAATCAATTTTGGATTTGGAGTCAGAGAGGTACACAGGGCGTGTTGAATTTGCACTGAAAAGTGGGTACGGGGCGTGTTTGACCAAAATGGGAGCTGTTGACCATACTTAACACGACCCGTGTTAGTTTAGTGCAAATAAACACGGAGCGTGTTGCTGAACACGACCCGTGTCAGTTTAGCGTATTTTAACACGGGCCGTGTTCGACCCAAAAAACCAACTTTTGGCAGTTTTTCCTATCTTTCATATTACGGGTTGAGGGTTATTTGGACATAAGAAGAACATACCAGAGCACCATTGGAGAAGGGAATTCGAGGCTTTTTGCAAGGGTTTGTCCGTTAACCATTTGGAAACATTAATTCTTGTTTTTGTAAGTTGTAATTACACTTAATTTCATCTTTTAGACTTGTGATCTTGTTCTAGCCATGTGTGGCTAGAACCCTAATTTCTCCAATTTCATGTTTTGACTTCTTGGTAGTGACTTCATTCATATGACATGATATTTGTTCTTAGTTTCTATTTAATGAATTTGATTTTGCTTCAATCGAATGTTTGATCCTAATTATGATTCTTATTGGCCATTTGAATTAGGGTTAGGTCATTCAAGTTATCTCTTTTACAAAATCCGTAATTGTTTTGTGAAATTTAACAAGTAACAAGCATTAAATTAATCTCTATTGAATGAATTTGGTGTAAATCTTATTCATACAGTTTTACACTCCCGAGCTTATGAGGGGTATTGGGTGTTGTTGGGAACATTCACAATAAGCTTCATGCAATCTTATAATCTAATCCTAAGAGCTTGTTTAGATTAGGTTAATAAGGTTAGGGTTAATCAAAGAGCTTGCTTTGGTTAATTAATATGGTGAATGGGAAGTGTTAGAGCTTATTATCACTTTCAAGTACCAACTTATATAGAATTGAACGAATATTGTGTCATCTTGGAGTCACATTGCTAAATTGTCATACATGGGGTTGGAGTCCTCACAAATTCTGAATTTAATTCACGCACTTAATTGATTGCTTATGTTTTTAATTATTTGTTTAATCATTACATTCTAAACCCCCCCTCTTTTTACTATTGGTGACTATAGTACCTTGTGCAAATAGGTATAGACCAATTGTCCTGTGTCTCTGTGGATCGACCCTGCTTTCCTTGTACTACCTTTTAGTGTAATATAGTGGGATTATTTTGGAGTGTATCGTACCCCTTTATTTGTTGGGTTTGACACGCCTAACAGGGAGCTTTGGATAAGGACTCGACAAAGGGGGTATTAATCGGGATCCCCTTCACATGCTTGACAAACTCTCTATGCTCTCTCTCCAGTGGACTAAGGGTGGCTTGGGAAGGAAAAGGCAACTTCGGCTCATAAACTGAGCTGTCTGCAAAATTTTTCTGTTCATGACGGGCCCACGTCGTGAACATATAAGGTTCACGTCGTGATTTCTGGAACTCAGCAGCTTCATGATTTTCGATCTTGATCTTCTTCTTCTTTTGATCGGGTGTTCGTGGTTCTTCATCCAATGCTTCCAGGAACTTCGAGATAGCTTCTTCTTTGGAGTCTATGGCCATTACATGAGATTGGTTTTGTACTTCGGGACTCTTCGGGGACAATTTTTCATGAACTAGAGTTGCTAGTTGACCAAATTGTACTTCAAGGTTATGGATGGAGGCTTGCTGATTCTTTATCAAAGTTTGTTGTTCCAGAATAGCAGAATCCGTGGCCTCGTGTCGCTTTTCCGATGCTTCCATAAATTTCATTAAAATGGTCTCTAGATCGGGTTTCTTCTCGGCTGGTGGTTGCTCCTTTTGATAGAGGCCTTGACCTGTCTGCCTATACTTTTCTTCTTTTTGCTTCTTATATTCTTCATATGGCAGCCACTCCTTCTTCGGTTTCCTCCAGTCCTCTTCAAACTTATCCCCATTAGAGTAGCACACTTGAGCTTTTCTGTTCCCAAATTCATCCACGTTGCAGTCCTTGGTCAAGTGTGGACCATTGCATCGCTCGCACCCCACTCTTATGGCGTGTATCGACTGGTCCATTTGTGTTATCCTGCGATCCATGTTATTCAGCATGGCCATGACAGCTGCAATTTCTTCAGTTTGGGCTCCTCCACCGCCTTTGCTTCCATCCTGCCTCGGGTTATGGTATTCGCGGGAGTGTTTCGCGAATTCTTTAATTAGCTCCTTGACCTCCCTTGGATTTTTCCTTGTCAACGGTCCTTGAGAATCAAGGAGTTGTCTCTTCATCACGTTGACCCCATCATAAAATATTGACATCTCTTGCTGCACATTTAGGTCATGTTGTGAGCAATTTCAAAGTAAGCCCTTGTACCGCTCCCATGCTTCGTATAGTGACTCCCCCGGCTGTTGCTCAAAGTTGGCTATTGCCTTCTTGAGTTTGGCTATCTTGGATGGTGGGCAAAACTGGTCTAGGAATTGCTCACGCATTTGAGCCTAAGTGGTGATTGTACCCGGTGGGAGTGCTTTTAACCACTCCTTAGCAGCTCCTTTGAAAGCGACGGGCAACATCCTAAGCAAGACTGTGTTCCTGTTGACATT